TTAGTTTTAATTATTTTTGGGTTTACCGGAGGTTCGGAAACAATTAACATTTTATTTATTTTAGTTATTTTCAATTAATCTATTTATTATAGTTAATTTAAATAGTTTCAATTATTTTTCCCGGAGGTTTGGAAATATCTAAAATTCTAATTATTTAAATTATTTTACTTATTTTTAATGATTTTTGGGTTTCCCGGAGGTTTGGAAAATAATTAAAATTCTAACTATTTTAATTAATTTTAATTATTTTTTGGTTTCAGGGAGGTTTGGAAATAACTAAAATAATTAAAATAATTAAGACAATTAGAATTTTAATTATTTCCAAACCTCCGGGAAACCAAAAAATAATTAGAAATAATTAAAATAAATAAAATAGTTAAAATTTGATTATTATTTCCAAACCTCCGGGAAACCAAAAAATATTTAAAAATAACTAAAATAATTAACATAATTAAAACAATTAGAATTTTAACTATTTCCAAACCTCCGGGAAAAATAACTAAAAATAACTAAAAAAATCACTAAAATAACTAATAATAAGTAGAATAGCTAAATTCTTAATTGTTTCCGAACCTCCGGGAAAAATAACCAAAAATAATTAAGATAATTAAAAATAAGTAAAATAAATAAAATTCTAATTGTTTCCGAACCTCCGGTAAACCCAAAAATAACTCAAAATAAGTAAAACAGTTAAACTAATTAAAATAATCAAAATTGTAATTATTTCCAAACCTCCGGGAAAAATAAATACACATAACAAAAAAAATAAAAAAATTAAATTAAAATAGTTAAAACCTTAATTGTTTCCGAACCTCCGGGAAAAATATTTAAAATGATTACAATAGATTAAAAATAAATAGAATAGCTAAAAATAACTCAAATACTTAAAATAACTAACAATTTAATTGTTCCCGAACCTCCGGGAAACCCAAAATAAGTAAAACTATTCAAAATAGTTAAAATATTTAAAACCATTAGAAATTAGTAGTTAAAAGAATTAAGATTAGTAATTAAAAGAATTAACATAATTAGAAATTTAAATATTTCAAAACCTCCGGGAAACCTAAAATAAAGAAAAATAATTCAAATCTTAGTTATTTCCAAACCTCCAGTAAACCCAAAATAACTAAACTATTTAAAATAGTTAGAGTTTTGTTT